TAAAAAAAAAAAATATATATATATATATATATATATATATTTTATACAATTGATTGAATTATTATTGTATTAAGGCTCATTTAAATCTTATTTCTTTCATTTACCATGAATATGGCAGTAAATTACTACTAAATTAACTACGGTAAATTACTGGATCATTAACTTTGCAGTGAGTGTATATTTTATTCACCATGGTTGTTTTTTTTCACCTGCATTTGGTGGGTTAATTTTAATCACTGATCTTGATCTGAAAAATGGAGCCGGTATAATTTGTTTTTTAACAGACAGTGTGTGATTTGTGTTTTTTTTTATGTGTGTGTGTGTGCATACTTAAACTGAATGCATAAAACTGCATCAGGTAGTGTCTGAGAAATGCTTAATAGCATCTGAAGAAGTTTCAGGCATTTTAACATTTGAAACGAGAAACTTTATGCTATTGTAGCTTTTTATTGTTTTCTTTAAGTCCAGTCATAATATTTGTCAAGGTTTTTTTGCACCAAAACTGTCATAATTTAGTTTTTCATTACCATTTTCCAGCCTTGCTCTGAGCTTTCGAATAAGAATAATTAAACAGGCTATTTAATTAATTGCAAAAAAATAAACAGTGTATTTTTAGATTTCTGTATGTGTGCATTTATGAAGCCGATTCCCATTTCATTCTTTTTGTGCTTTGAAAAAAGCCAGGAAATTTCAGTTTTGACAATATGGGACCTTTAATACAACATTTATGCTATTTAATAAAATAATAAAAAAATATTATTATTATAAATCATAAAATTACAATATTATAAAATTATGTTCTAAATTAATAATAGTGAGTGTATGTACTTATTAATGAACTTTTCTTGAATTTATGTAAATTACCTTTGTGTATCAGCATAATTTTACTACTAATAATTTTGGCTTTCACTAATATAGCTCAGAATCGATTCCAGAGAGAATCGCGATGCATTCGCAAAATCGAATCGATTTATCGTCGCAGCCCTAGTGAACGTTCTGAAAGTTACAATATCTCCATGATATTTTACATCTGTGCTGTTAATTTATTAAATCTGCTTCCAGTGTGTCTCTGGTGGTGGTTTAATATAAAGCGTGTGTGTTTGTGCAGGCACTGCTCTCTAGCTGTGATAAACGCCCTGGCTAATATCGCGGCTAACCTGCAGGGGGAGCAGTTGGTGGACGAGCTTCTGGTCAATCTGCTGGAGCTGTTCGTTCAGCTCGGCCTGGAGGGCAAGAGAGCCAGTGAACGCGCCAGTGATAAAGGACCGGCCCTCAAAGTCAGTCTGTGTTTGACCTGCAGTCTGGCTCTACACTTACAGTTATTAAAAAATGTGACCCTGGACCAAAAAACTAGTCTTGAGTGTCAATTTTTCGAAATTGAGATTTATACATCACATGAATAAATAAGCTTTCCATTGATGTATGGTTTGTTAGGATCGGACAATATTTGGTCGAGATACAACTATTTGAAAATCTGGAATCTGAGGGTGCAAAAAAATCTTAAGTATAGAGAAAATCGACTTTAAAGTTGTCCAAATGAAGTTCTTGGCAATGCATATTACTAATCAAAAATGAAGTTTTGAGATATTTACAGTAGGAAATTTACAAAATATCTTCATGGAACATGATCTTTACTTAATATCCTAATGATTTTTGGTGTAAAAGAAAAATCAGTAATTTTGACCCATGCAATGTATTTTTGGCTATTGCTACAAATATACCCCAGCGACTTAAGACTGCTTTTGTGCTCCAGGTCACAAATAGAATTCTGGAATGTTTCAGTGTGTCTTGAATGTTGTTTTAATTTAGTTATTTTATTTTCTAGGCGTCCAGCAGTGCTGGTAATCTAGGCGTCCTCATCCCTGTAATCGCTGTGGTAAGACACACAGACACACACTCACAGTATTTAAACAGCAGAATCTCATTTCATTCTTTTATATGCATTTTATTTAAGGGGAGGTGCTGCAAGCATAAATTATGCTTTTGGAATTAAAATTTAATTATTCTGTATTAACAAAATATTCAATACACTTTATTTAATGTCATTTAATAGAATAATATTACAATTACAATATTATAAATAATATGAAATTATAATATTATAAATTATATTTATTATAATATTTAAAGGCTATAAAGAAAATTGCTTTTAAATATAAATATTACATATATTTTTAGTTTTCTATTAAATTGTATAAGTATTTTGGTAAGTAACTTTGACAAATGTGATTACTGAGTTCTTTATCACATTGAAACAAAAATAAAAAGCAATATTTTCTTCTTGGCCTGTTTTACATCGGATATAGTATGCAAATGTTAATGGAAAGGAAAAATGTTTTCCTGTTCAGTCCCTTTAAATGATTTATGAGCTCTCTTATGACTTGCATGCTTTTGAATATCAAAGTAAATTTTTCGTACATACATAAACTAATCAAAGATTTTGTCTACAAAAAGTAAGATCAATCTTGCTTCTTTTTTGTAATGAGATACTGTTTTTTTGTATAAATGCAAATGCAAGAGCTCTTTCTGCTCTTGTTGGATGCTTCATTATTCATGTGTCTGTCTAGAAATTGTAATTAGATCTTGAGTGCCTGTGGTTAGACTTTTAACTTCTCTGACAAATATTTACTTGGCTTGCAAAATGTTCTGCCATGTTGTTGGTGTACTCGAGCGTTGTTTTTATTCACCCTTTAAACAGATTAATTCAGTAATCCAGTCCTCTGAGTTATTTTATTTAACAACACATTCTGCTTCAAAAATACACAGATGTTTATCAGTTGATTAAATCAGTATTTAAATTTCACTAGCATTTCTTTACAAAACTCACTTTACTTGATAAAACAAAATAACCATCATTCTCATCCGCTTATTTGGCTAACGCTTTAGTTTCATTGTTATACAGTGATGCATCGGCCATTGCATGGCTGTATTGTGTATGTGCATCTGTTTAACTCTGTGAAGGGTCTACCACACGTCCCATGAACACAACGCAGCCCGTGCGATGCTCGTAGATGAGGAAGAGGAAGGGGCGGTCCACGATGAATCGTGTCTGTGTTGATAAAGGCATGAATCCGATACTTGTCATTGCTGCGGCCTCTGTACCTTCTTCATTCACTGTAATGGTGCCCTGATGCTTAAACTGAGAGAGAAGAGAAGGAGGTTTGCAGGAAAGAAGGTTATGATGGTGCAATGAAAGGTCAAAGAGTATGTTTTTGTAGGAGATTAGGCGTAGGCGACCTAAAGTGCTCTCGACACAACAGAAGGTGTTGAACAAGTTATGAGTTGAATTTGTCAGTTCTTCTCTTACCCAGTTGATGATGACTTTCTCGGAAGTCATTGGGGAAAAGTCACCCTTTTCAGTAAACGGGTCCGTCAAGCCCATTTCCTTCAGGTGCTCAATCAAGTCATAGTTCTGCTCCAGCTTAAACCGAGGGAAAACCACCTCACGAGTCCTACCAGAGAAAGATTTTAAGACCATGCAAAGCCAAAAAGACAACTGGAGAATGATTTAGCTGAGTAGGAAGTATTTCTGGATCAACATTCTTATCAAGCTCTAACACTAACCTCTAACTGTAAACCAAAGACCAAATATATTCCAAACCATAAAGTACCACTAAAAGTGGAAATTCAGGGAAATTATAGGGTAATACTGGTTAACCCTGAACTTAACTCTAGTATCTAAGAGGTTGATAGCAGTGTTGTTCCATAAGCAACAAGGATATCGATCCAGGAACTTGTCTAACTTCATGTTAAATCATCTTAAGCACTTCAAGTCATTGAGTCAGGGACATTAAAGTGCCTTGCTGACTTGTTTGTAACTTAGTCTCACACCTACGGCTAGTGCTTTACCTGTTGGTCATGTTGTTAAGCCACTTATTGATCAGAGTTGGGGAGATCTCCTGCTCCAGGGATCTCATTCCAGAGAGTTTCTGAGGAACAGCGATGATCATGCTGATGTTTCCGGTGTAGGGCAGCTGCAGTATGTCGCAGTTGAGCTCGTGATCGGCCGCTGCCAGGTAGCTTCCTTTGTTCTGCATCATGGGTACACGCACTTGCTTTTTCTCATTGACACGGAATTGCCGGTAGTGTGTCAGTTCCTTCGGGAACTTCTGCTCCCACGTACCTGCGTTTGTTGTACCAGTGAAAACATAAGGTTGTGTTATTTCAAAGTTGTATGTGATATTATTCCTTATGAATTCTAATCTGTTTAAAGAAGGGGTGTGCAGTCCTGTTTCTGGAGGGCCACCTTCCAGCGGAGTTTAGCTCTAGCCCTAATTAAACACACCTGAAACAGCAAATGAATTCAGGATCACTAGAAACTTTCAGGCATATGTGTTGGAGCTACACTCTGCAAGAAAGTGATTCTCCAGGAGCAGGATTGGACACCCCTGATTGAGACAACAGTTCCGGTTTACCAAATATCTACAGCTGTGGTAGTCAGTGCTGCTCCAGGAGGGCCATCTTCCTGCTTAGTTTAGTTCTTGCCCTCATTAAGCCCGAGACACACTGCACGATTTTCGGCTGTCCCAGATGAAAGATTGGCACTGTGAAACAATCGTGGCGATTTCTGTGATCGTGGCTCCTAAATGTTCGTCCTATGTCGTACAGTGAGAGAGGCTCAAAGACGAGCGTTGTCACGGACTTGTGATCAAAGATAGCCTATGATCATTTTCTGACACTGTCAGAAATTCAGCATGATCATCAAAGTGCTACGACCCACGTTTACTGACCAGCCAATAAAAATGTGACATGAAATCAACGCGACACGGCGCCAAAACTTAAAACTGCTTACCTCAAGCTCTTATCCCTTCCTCTTTCGCCGCTTCCACTTTTTTCAGTACATATAAAAACTACAACTGCCAAAGTGTGATTCATCATGCTCTTTTTGTTTACCACTAGCGCATGCTGATGACATTTTATTCTTCTATAGTAACGTTTGTCGTAGCGCACGAGTCAATAGATGTCGTCATCATACAGTCTGCATGCATGTCCGTACCCAAGTTTATCAGATCCATGTCGCACAGTGTGATTTGCAATGATCTTATAGGATTGCTAAAATCATGCAGCGTGTAGATGGCTTAAAAAACACCTGAACCAACTAATCAAGGTCTTCGGGATAGCAAGAAACTTCCAGGCACATGTGTTAGAACTAAACTCTACAGGACACTGACTTTTCAGGAGCAAGATTGAACACCCCTGGTTGAGACAGAAGTTCCTATTCACTAAAAATCTACAGCTGGAGTAGTCAGCCCTGTTCCCGGAGGACTATCTTCCTGCAGAGTTTGGATCTCGCCCTCATTAATGAAACCTGAACTAGCTAATCAAGATCTTGAGGATCACAAGAAACTTCCAGGCACATGTATTAGAGCTAAACTCTGCAGCAAATGGACACTTCAGGAGCAGGATTGGACACCCCTAGTTGAGACAGAAGTTCCTATTCACCAAATATCTGCAGCTGGGGTAGTCAGTCCTGCTTCCGGAGGGCATCTTCCTGCAGAGTTTAGTTCTCACCCTCATTAAACACACCTGGGGCGGGTTGCGTAAACGGCTTAGACTAGTCTTAAAAAGTTAGTCATCTAAGTCTGGTCATAACTTTTTAAAGTCAGTTACAAAAAAGTAGATTGGTCTAATGTGAATCCAAAAAATAAGACTGATTACCCCTTGGCTAACTGCTAGTTGGTCAAACTAGTTTGTAAGACACAGTCTTAACATAATGTCTATGTTTATGCAACTGGCCCCTGAACTAGATAATCAAGGTCTTCAGCATCAAAAGAAACGTCCAGGCAGGTGTGGTAGTGCTAAACTCTGCAGGACATTGGCCCTTCAGGAGTGGGAGTGGACACCCCTGCTTGAGACAGAAGATCCTATTCACCAGCTAATCAATGTGCTCAAGAGTAGTAGAAGATTACGGCCAAGTGTTTTGGGCAGGGTTGTGACTGAAGTCTGAAGTAAGGTAGCCCTCCAAGAGCAGGGTTGGCGTCACTGATCTACAGGTTTCCCTGTTGAAAAGACCAGCTTAGTAGTGATGGGAAGTTCGGCTCTTTTCAAAGATTCGGCTCTTTTGGCTCGGCTCCCTTAGAAGAGCTGACTCTTACGGCTCCCAAATGGCTCTTCATTTAGTATCACTCTGAGCCTTATATTTTAGCCCAATTTAGCAATTGTTAATGGTTTCTGTGTTGGTAAGCAATTTTTTATTCAGTGTTTTCATAAAAGCCTTATTTTTATGCTTTTATTTCGTTACAAAACAAAAAATTACACATATACTATTATTTAACATTTGAATAAAACTTGAATAATAACACTTTAGTCTTTAGTGCAGGTTGGCATTCAGACATATCAGATGCTTCAGCTTGGATGTGCTGATGCGATTTCTCATCTCTGTGATTATTTGTCCTGAGAGAAAAGACTCTCTCTGAGGGGACCGATGTTGCAACAATGCAGTGTCTTCCTACCATTACCTTAACCAATGCGCTTGCGTTTAAATCCGGCTCCCCCGTCTCTCTCTGTCGCTCTGTGTACCTGGCCTGTACCACTACACTCGCTATCTTCAGAGCTTGTGTCACCATTCCTTCTTTCACATAATGGTATGATCCTAGTCTGTCCTCCCATGTGATTAGCCGCATGTGTTTTTTTTTTGTAACGAAAAAATGCATAAAAATAAGGCTTTTGAGAACACTAAATAAAAAATTGCTTATCAACACACAAACCATTCACAATTGCTAAATTGGCCTGAAATAGAAGGCTACGGTTGAAGATTCGGCTTTCCCTGACGGGAGTCGGCTCTTCTCGTTCGCTACAAAGAAACGGCTCTTAGAGCCGGCTTGATCGCGAACGACACATCACTACAGCTTAGGCTGTAATTGTGCTGGTTTATGTTGGTTTGGTGCAGGTCAAATTGGCGAACCAGCACAGCCATGAAGTTCGGTTGACCTAGTCAAGATGCTGGTCTATTTAGTCAGGCTAAGATCAAACTGAATGCTCAATATTGAACTCAATGGTAGTACACAAAGCATTTCACATAGTACATTATTCTTTGCTCTAGGATTGAGGGCAGATTATTCAAATGAAGGATTAAACCATTAGTCCTAAAGAGTTTCAGTCTTTGAATAGGCTAGAATCGATTCACCTTTGAAGTAAAGGTAGTTCAGGAGCATCACTGCCATATTGGGGTCTACGCTCTTCAGCGGTTCCTTTATCAGACCTTTGGTGATCTTCTGAATGCGCTGGTTGGCCTTCACAAGGAAGGCGGGGTCGGCAAAGTCCACAGACTGCGGCTCGGCGAAGTAGTATGTCTTTGCATTGCTACGGAAAGCCTCCTGTATGCGGATGTTTATTTTCACGTACAGGTCATTAACGGAGCGTAAGTTGTAGCCGAAGTTCCGTCGGAAGAGCCTGTGCGTGAGTTTGCGGAACAGCTTGTGCACGGTCGAGTTATCGTAATGAGTGCTGGCATTGACAAATTCAGCAAATCCGAGAGTTTGGTAGAGTTGTTCGTGAGCGGTTGGGCCGACTCCCAGAGCCATCATGCCCATCGCAATGGAGATCCCGACAGGAGCGAGCAGAATGTTGTCCGTCTGGTTAAGTCGATTGCGCAGTTTCCGATAAAGCCGGCACCCGAAGCGGGTGTTGACCACGTTGATGCGCTGCAGACGAGTTCGCCCATGGAAGAGCCGCAACAGGCGTGCTCGGCGTATTTTGGGGTCACTGGGCTCCCCAAAGAGGTCCAGGTCAGGAGCAGGAGTGGAAATCTCGTCTATATGGTCACCTTCACTATAGTCATCCTCACCCTCCGCCAAGATCTTATCGAAGTCGATGTAGTCCTCATCTTCCAGCCCTTCCAGAGGGAGGTCATTTGTGACTGTATTCTCCCGATGGAAGTCCAGAGGAATGGACTCCATGTCTGTGTTCTCTCCATTTGGAGAAAGTCCACGGGCATCCACCAACTTTTCCTTCTCACTTCCGTCAAAGTGTGAGCTGAGGTCTTTGACTCCAGCCAGAGCGGGGCTGCTCAGGAGAGAGGCTACAACTATAACTGGAACGAACCACATCCTATGGAAACACGCACACATGGGAATACTGAACGATTGACAAATGTACATATATATTACACAGACATTTCTCTGAAATATAGCACACAATGCTCATATGCCATGTAAACATTTACATTTATTAATTTAGCAGATGCTTTTATCCACAGTAGTGTTAATTTAATAATACCACATTAATATACTGTTATGGTGTTTTTTACAATTTAATTTATTTTATTATTTTTAATATTGTTAGTATTCATTTTAATTTCAGTTTGTTTTATACATGTTTTTTTTATAGTTAGTTTTTTATTTTCTGTTGTTTTTATTTCAGTTTTCATGCTTCAACTACTATTTTTAGTTAGCTGGCAAGGAAACCTATTTAATATTCATTTCATTTTTTAAATTTATTTTATTTATTTTTTTCTCAATATTACTAATTTTTGTTAACAATAACAACACTGATCCAAAGTGACTTGTAAATGAAGTAAATCCTAAGCTGTGACCACTATAGACAGTTATGGGGACACCCAGTATCCAGAACAATCAATAAATTTTTTCAGTGCTTTTCAATGATTGTTACATTTTTGCCTTTGGTTACTTCCTTAGCTTGATCTCAGAAATATCACACCAGTGTCAACAGTCTTATGAAATCTTTTATGCTAGTTTGTGCTGCTTACCTGCTCTGTCCCTCTGGAATCTCTGTGTTTTTGTGTGTGTGGACGGTCTGTTTGTGGATTCGTTCTCCAGCTGGACTTTGAAGTGGCTCTTCACTGATCAAACAGCAGCGAGTTCAAACAGTCTTCACATACCTTCATCTGACTCAATTAACCCTTGATATGCACTCAATACATTAACACTAGGTGCAAATTAATACAAATACACTGTAAATGGCCTCTTAGGACTTATATTACCGTAGTTACACTGCATAGCTTTTATCCTAATATACCTGACAACTGTATAAAATCTATTGAGGAAACTGGCACACCATTTCATTGTATGCAGGGAGTTGCAGTTGCTCTGGAAAAAGTTCTTGATATGATCTGTGATCTGACTGAAGAGGGTGTTTCCTTGGAGGCTAAATTGGATGTTTAACTTTAGCAAATTTAGTAAATGTAAGCTTATAGATTTTAGTTCTAAAAGTGCATGGAAAAGCACTCAGTGGATTGAAGAAATGTCATGTAATCTTGCTTTGGAAAAACTGACATATATTTATACTCTGAGGGAAAAGTAGATGCATTTAGTGATATGGACTCATAATGTTCCTAAATTTAAAGTTAAATTAATTGTGTCTTGTGTTCGATTGTATGCAGTTGACCCGCCGGTTGCCTCCCATTAAAGAGGCCAAACCTCGCCTTCAGAAGCTCTTTAGAGATTTCTGGCTCTATTCTGTGGTCATGGGATTTGCTGTGGAAGGTTCTGGTAAGGAATAAAAAAAATCAGCATCACTGACAGCATTTAAGCATGAATTCACCACATGCACAGTCTCGTGTACGGTTTGCTGTAGTAAGATCTCATAACCTGAGGAGAGAGTATTTCTACAGGATTGTGTCTGTGTGTGTTTTAGGTCTGTGGCCTGAGGAATGGTACGAGGGAGTGTGTGAAATCGCCACAAAATCTCCACTGCTCACGTTCCCCAGTGGAGAACCGCTGCGTTCAGAGCTCCAGTACAACTCGGCTCTGAAGAACGACACGGTTACTCCGGTATCCCAACGATCTCTCACTGTCTCAGTGCTGTTTTACAGCCTCCAGGTGTTAAAAGTAGAGCCCGACCGATATGGGTTTTTTGGGGCCGATACCGATATTAGGGAGTAAAAAAAAGGCTGATATCGATATAATATACCTCTGTAAATAATATAATATATATATATATAATATAAATTCACGTCTTGCACACTTTAATGCCCTTTAAATGTAACATGTACGTTCCCTTGGAACTGGAATCATGGCGGAATAGCATGTGAAGTCCACTTCGCAGGGCACTTAGGGTCGAATAAGCCAATGCTTGAATGCTGCTGCCTGAACAAGAGAGCTCCTTACTGAAGTGAAAGTGTTGGCTGGTGTCATGATCTCGCGAACGCGCCGGGGGATCTCCACCAAATTCGGGGGATCCCTTCAGCTGAAGGAGCCCTCTCGAACGCCACCCTCTGCGTGTTGATAGCCCCCCGGGATCGCTAGATCGGTCGGCGCTGGGCCATGAATTTAACCACCCGTAACTCCCGAACCCCGGGGGCTATCGATGCGGGGGTGGTCTCATTCGAAAGAGGGCCTCTAGACGTACACTCGATTCGCCTTTGAGAGGGTTCCTCGAGCTGAAGGGATCCCCCGAATTTGGTGCGGATTCGCTGCGCCTTTACGAAGATATGGCCATTCAAAGTTTCAATGTTTTTCCATAGACTTAAGCTTTAAAGCGTTTCATCCAGGTCGCCAGTAGCAAACAATGGAGCACGCTCTGCTGGACAAACGAAGTAATTACACAATTTCAAGCATTTTATCTGCATATATATGTTCTGTAAAAAAAATGTTCATATCGTTGGCATATTAGCCGATACCGGTATATCGGCGACAGGCTCATATCGGCCGATAATATCGGCTAAACGATATATCGGTCGGGCTCTAGTTAAAAGGATCGTTCGCCCAAAAATTAAAATTCTTACATCATTTACTCACCCTGAATTTATTCCAAACCTGTATGAGTGTCTTTCTTTGCTGAGCACAAAAGAAGATATTTTGTAGAATGTGGGTAACCAAAATGTTGGCGGTAGCCATTGACTTCCATAGTATGTGTTTTTCCATACTATATTAGTCAATGGCTACCGTCAACTGTTTGGCTACCAGCATTCTTCAGAATATCTTCTTATGTGCAGAAAAAAAGAAACTCAGGAACAACTTGAGGGTGAGAAAATGATGACAGAATTTAAATTTTTTTTTGTGTGAACGATCCCTTTAAAGGTGGGGTAAGTGATTTCTGGTAGCCAATGTTGATTCATGACGTATTGATACAAATTTCAAATGATTTTCAACGGTCGCTTTGTCGCGTCCAGTGTACGAGACAGACTTTTGCTCAAAAAAAATTTGATTTAACTCCCAACAGTTTTATAAGAAAAATTGATCAAAAATGCAAAGCAACCAAATTTATTTCTGAGAAATTAACTGGGTGCCATTGACTGAACATGCCACGTGTTTCGATCATGTGACAACAATGTTGCGAACCACTTTATCCTTGCATACGGTTTTACATGCAATTTTACAAAAATAGCATGCAGTATACAGTATATAATAGTTTCTGTACATGGCTTGTATTTTGTTTGTTAAAAAATCTCCTGGTTACACTTTATTTCGATAGTCGAATGTCTAAAGTGGACTAATTATAAGAAACCTTGCATGTCAGCTAACTCTCATTAGAGTATTTGTAGACTGTTATGCAATGGTTAGGGTTAGTAGAATAAGTAGTTGCAAAGTTATTTATAGTTACTACAAGGTCTGTTGAGGAACCATCAAAATAAAGTGTGAGCAGACAGTCTACTAATACTCTATTGACTGCTAGCTGACATGTAGTAGCAATGTTGCTTATAGTTAGTGGAATATCAAAATGAAGTGTTACCGATCTCCTTTTGAAGGCGGAGTTAAGTGAACTGCGCAGCACCATCATTAATTTGTTGGATCCGTCACCTGAAGCCGCCGCCCTCATCAATAAACTCGACTTTGCCATGTGCACTTACCTGCTGTCTGTGTACCGGCTGGAGTATATGAGGTTAGAGACGCTTTCCTTCCTCCAGCTCGTCTCATTGTGGTGATTTCATGCATCATTTCCCTATCTGTGCGTCTCTCTCTGTGTATTAATCTTTCTCTTCCTCAGGATGCTGCACTCGAATGATGCCGACCGCTTCCAGGTGATGTTCAGATACTTTGAGGACAAAGCCATCCAGAAAGACAAATCAGGTCAGAAACATGACAGAATTTAATGTTGTTGATTTTAGTAGATTCAAAAATGTTTACGGCAAGAAGCAAAAATCTAGTTGCAATTAATCAAAGTAGCCTATGTTTTTCATTAAGCGTACATGAAGAATCATATGTATTTATTTATATCTACACTACCAGTCAAAAGTTTTTGAACCGTAAAAAAATGATCTTTGGATCTTTCTATTCATCAAAGAATCCTGAAAAAAATTTACTCGACTGTTTTAAATATTAATAATAATAATAAATGTTTTTTGAGCAGCATATCGGCATATTAGAATGATTTCTGAAGATCATGTGACGCAAGATTTACTTGCATTATTATTATTATTATAAACAACACAGAGACAGCACTGTTCTTATTCTCATTCTTCAATACAGAGATGTCCAAGAATTTGAAAGAAGATGCAAACAAGTCACTGAATCAAGTTTTGAGTCATTTAATTGAAATGGACAGATTGAACCAGTTTGAGGAAATGAATGGAAACATGTGGAGACTCTGACAGTGTTCAGCGAATCTTAGTTTTGAAGCTCACATACAAGAAAGAAAGGATCGTGAGTCTAGTCTAATCACATGATCTTCAGGAAACTTCATGGCCAAGTAAAGAACACTCTTCTGATGCTTAACTTTGTCAAAGCGATATCGTTGCAAATAAGTGTCTCTCTCTTGGTATGCAGGCATGATGCAGTGTGTGATTTGTGTGGGTGATAAAGTCTTCGAGGTTTTCCTGCAGATGATGGCTGAGAAAGTGAGTCGAGCGTTTGAAGGATCTCTCAGCACTGAACTGAATGCATTATTGATCGCTCATTATTGACAGTCGCATTGATTGCTGTTTCAGCCCAAGACTAAAGAGCACGAGGAGGAGCTGGAGCGCCACGCTCAGTTCCTATTGGTCAACTTTAACCACACCCACAAGAGGATCCGCAGGGTGGCAGATAAATACCTCTCAGGACTCGCAGAAACGTAACGTTATCCACACATTCTCTAGTTCTCGAACTCCCGACCTAGACAGCATAGGAAGCATCACTCGTGATGTAAACTGAACAATTTCACCCAATATTTGTGAGGTCCGTGTAGTTGTTGTGCTTTTCTGAATGCTTCTCACACAAAGTTTGTTGCTTATGAAAATGCAAAATGCACCAAACATCTTCCCAAACTAGTAATGAGAATTGTATATAAATATGTTTTAAGATTTAAGGTCTCCCTGCAGTTTGCCGCCAAAATAAAAGCTCTGTGGTTGAATGTATAAAAGTAAAGAAATTAAAACGGACATAAATATTAGTATTGTCATTTTACTGTTGTTCTGTAAAATAACCTTATTATTAATAAATACTCGTTAAATACAAATATTTTTTTATAACAATAGTAGTATTACTGTAATAAAATATATCGTTATTAACTGATTTTTGTAATTGAACAAAAACAACAGTAGTAGTATTTTTTTTTTTTATTATTTTTGTTACAGTAATATTATTGCTATAGTAAAATATTGCTTTATTGAAATTCATAATATTAATAACAATAATAATAGTTGTTTATTTTACATTTAAATACTCATTTTTGTAGTATTTTATTACCAGATTTTGCTCATTTTTTGTATTTTATTTACAATAGTAGTATTGCTATAGTAATTTATTTATCGATTTAATTTTTGTAATTTAACATCAATAATATTAATAATAACAACTATAATAGAAAATAACAATTGCTTTTGTTGTTGTAGCAATAATAATAGTAATAATTAATACTACTACTACTACTACTAATAATAATAGATAGTAGTAGTAGTAGTAATAATAATGATAATAATAATAATACTCAATAATACTAATTAAATACTCATTTTAGTGGTATTTTATTACCAGATTTTAATTGCTATATTTAATTATTTTTTATTGTAATCTAACAACAACAACAACAACAATTATTATTATTATTATTAAATGCTCATTTTTTTGTATTTTATTTACAATAGTAGTATTGCTATAGTAATTTCTTTATCGATTTAATTTTTGTAATTGAACATTAATAATATTAATAATAACAACTATAATAATAGAAAATAATAATAGTAGTTGTTGTTGTAGCAATAATAATAGTAATAATAATAATAGGTAGTAGTAGTAGTAATAATAATAATAGGTAGTAGTAGTAATAATAATAATAATAATAATAGGTAGTAGTAGTAGTAATAATAATAATAATTATTATTATAATAATATAGTCATATACAATAATATTAAAAGCTCAAATCTCTCAAATCCGTGTTTGTCCTCTAGGTTTCCTCATCTTCTGTGGAGTGGAAGAGTTTTGAAGACCATGTTGGACATCCTGCAGACTCTGTCTCTGTCCCTGAGCGCCGTCAGTACAGCAAACATCCAGAAATCAGCACATGCATGACCAGTATTACTAGCATTTACACTCTCACACGTCAGTCTCTTAACTCAACCTGCTGTTATACAGGACATCCACAAGGACCAGCCGTACTACGACATTCCCGACACTCCGTACAGAATAACGGTCCCAGACACGCATGAGGCGCGAGAGGTGAGATAGACGCAGCTTCTGAGCCGAGGATATGTGCTCAGTCCGAGTCCACTGCTTTGAAACGGTTTTTGTGTTTGTGCAGAGCATCGTGAAGGACTTTGCCGCCCGCTGTGGAGAGATCTTGAAGGAGGCCATGAAATGGGCCGCTTCGGTTACCAAATCTCATCTCCAGGTGAGTAGAAGTCGCATACTGTGCACTAAGAGTATGTACTTTGAGTCTGAGATGTGGTATTTATGATCATATGTGTTGCACGATCATGCATTCATGCAGACAGCCTGGATTAGAGTCTGATTCCTATCATTCACCAGGCCATCCTTATCTCTTATCTCTTATCTCTTATCTTATCTCATCATTTACAGACCCACAAGCTCTGCTGAAAAAAAAGCAACGAAAAATTATTTTAAAATACATATTTTAATTATTATAAAAAAAAATTGTTTTATGCATTTAACATGCATTTTGCAGGCGCTTTTTATCCAAAATGTGACATGCATTGCATTTAAGGTATATACATGTATACATATTTGTTTAATCTGATTGTTTTATTATAAACTATTATAAACTTCACTGGTAAAGCATTTTCACAAACTTCTGTCATTTTCTGCTTGCATGTTGTTAAATGAATCAGAATTCATTATTACTTTTGTTTATACATTTATAAACTGCTGTTGCAGCCTCAGCTGCACATTTCTTGTTTTTATTTATTTATTTATTTTTTTACTACTGAAAAAAATTAATCTGTTCATTTAAAGCAGATGGATAATATTAGCCTCAAAAAGCGTGCACAGATGCTTACTTTCACCAGACATATTTTACCATATGGGCTTCGTGAATTGGATGCAGTGTTAGTTTGAGTAGTGTGGAGTTGTAAATTAGTCAGCTATAGTAATACTATGGTGTTCTTTGAGTGCCATGTAAATACCAAGATTTATGAATATGTTAATCATAATATATTAATCATGTTCAAAAGTCTGGGGTCTGTATGATTTTTAATGTTTTAAAAAAAAGTATCCTCTGCTCACCAAGACTGCATTTATTTGATCAAAAATACATTAAAAATTGTGAAATATTATTACAATTTTAAAATAGCTGTTTTCTGTGTGAATGTATGTTAAACTGTAATGTATTTCTGTGATGCGCAGCTGAATTTTCAGCATCATTACTCCAGTCTTCAGTGTCACATGATCTTCAGAAATCATTCTAATATGCTGATTTGCTGCTCAAGAAACATTTCAGATTATTATCAATGTTGAAAACAGTTGTGCTGCACAATATTTTTGTGGAAACTGTGATACATTTTATTTTTCAGGATTCTTTGATGAATAGAAAATTCAAAAGAACAGCATTTATTTGAAATAGAAATCTTTTGTAACATTATAAATGTCTTTACTGTCACTTTTGATCAATTTAATACGTCCTTGCTGAATTAAAGTATTAATTTCTTTCAAAAAATCTGTTTGTGTCCGTCTCAGGAGTATCTGAACAAGCATCAGAACTGGCTGTCGGGTTTGTCTCAGCACACGGGTTTGGCGATGGCTACCGAGAGCATTCTCAGCTTCGCGGGATACAACCGTCAAAGCACAACGCTGGGGGTGAGAAACGCACCTGACCTGAGTCCCTGTTACAGACACGCGTCCTGATGCTAACCACTGCTGTACTCTTACGGTAGATGGTTACTGAGATGGTAACTGAGGTGTTTGGCCAGATTAAGGTAAGACGGTAGCGAGTCTTTAGCGGATCGGAATAAAATCATCAATCGTTTTAGAAAAAGCCCACATGCTCAATCAAATCCACTAAATTCAAAACATCTTGATTTGCTTTAAGATTCACAGAACATCTGAATGTGTACATCATGTGAACACACAAATTGCTTATTTTAATGCATTTATGCATTTATTTATACATGCAGTTATTCATGCATTATTTTTGACAATTAACCATACAATTATAAATGTAAAAAACCTGATTCTTATGTAATATAAATAATATATTTTAATATTAATATGCATTTATTTGTACATGCATTTATGCAATTATGTATACATTATGACATTATTTTTGATAATTAACCGTATAATTATAAATGTAAAAAAAATGATTCTTATGCAATATAAATAATATATTTTAATATTTATATGCATTTATTTGTACATGCATTTATGCAATTATGTATACATTATGACATTATTTTTGACAATTAAGCATACTTTTACACAAATCTCAATGTCAAAACATTATATTAATTTACATCCATTTATTTATTCATTGCATTTATATATGCACTGACATTATTTTTGAAAATTGAGCACAATTCTAAATGTAAAAAGTCTTATTTTAAAATAATGTTTTTTGAATATTAATTTGCATTTATACAATTATGCAGTTACTATAAATTTAAATATTCATTTTTATTTATTCGTCAAGCCAATTTTACGTAGCTCTTTTCATAATGCACATTGTTTCAAAGCAACTTTGAAGATAATTTTTGCAGTAATAATGTCTTAAATCCTGACAGCTCTTTTAGCAGATAATGCATACAGCAATTTATGATGAGAATTTTCTGTATGCATTGAAGCAGATGCCCTGTTATATTTACTATACCTGCTACAGTTCAGTATAACAGAGTATACTGTATGAGGTATTGTATCCCACAATGCACTGCACTTTAAGGTCCACATTAAGGTCATTAACAGAATGAATTGCTGTAAAGCTGCTTGGAAACAATGAGTATTGTGAAGAATGTTTTTCACAATATACAGCTTAAAACTAACCAGGTATTTCAGACGTGATCCCAGCTAACGCACTCACTGCATTTCAGCTGTGTGATAATGATTATCCCTGCAATCATGCTTTATGAATATTCATTAGCACTGTTGTGTTCATATCAATTTGGCTCTTGTTTGTCTTTTTATTTTTGGGACCTTTTAAATGTTGTTTTTGTGCATGCTTTGTGTTCTGATGTTATTTTGCAGCATGTCATGTGTAAATGTGTGATGGGCAATATTTTGTCATTCACTTTATTTGTGCTGTTACATCATTCCATCTCTGCTAACTCATCTGTGTGTGTGCTATGATTGGCTGGCGGTGGGTTTGGTGGGTGTGGCCTGTCGTGTGCTCCTCCCCCTCGCCCCAGGCAGCTTTTCCTCAGGTTGGTGCTGTTACTGTTGTCCTCACTTCTTTCATTGGCTCCATCTGTAACTCATTTGTCATTTATAAATCAGTATATGTTATTATCATCGCAGTAGAGCGGTCAGCTCCTCCTGACGCTCATAAGAGTATATCTTTATAGATGAATGGATATATTCTAGTCAGAAATGTCATTAGTAATGTTTGTAGTGGGATGTTTTAACTGGTCAGTTTCCATTATTCCCAGGTTACCCAGCTGACGGAGCGGCCCACCTGTGTGAAGAAGGACTACTCCAACTTCATGGCATCGCTCAACCTGCGGAATCGCTACACTGGAGAGGTAAACACGTTCAGTAGGGTGTTTATGAGTGAATCTCACCAGTACTGACGAGAACATATTTCATATGACTCATATTTCACCAAACATTAAAAGAAAGAAATAAGAAATTATATGTTCTTATAATTTTGCATAAAGAAAATGAAGTCTTTTTTTATGATAAAAAAACTTATTTTGTTTAGGTTTTTATTTATTGATTTATGCAGTTTATTTATGTTTATTTGCAGTTCATTTATGTGTTCGTTCATTTATGTGCTTTATGCACTTATTTATGCTCTAATGCACTAATGCACTTATTTATACATGTATTCAGATATTTATGCAGTTATTTGTGCGTTTGCGCAGTTTATCCATACATTTAAAAATTTATTCATGCACTTATTTTTGCGTATTTTTTTTATTTATTCAATTATGCCTTTATTAATGCATTCATGCATTTTTAGATTTGTTTATGCATTTATTTATGGACTTATTTATGTGCATATTTATTTATGCATGTATTTATACGTTTATTCAGTTATTTGTGCATTTATGAATTTTCATGCATTTATTTATGCACTTATGCATTTATGCTTTTTTTTAGATGTATGCATTCATTTAGACATTTGTGCAGTTATTTATGCATATTTGTAGATGTATGCATTTATCTATTCATTTAGATATTTATGCACTATTTATGCATTTTGTTTACATTTATGCACTTATTGATGCATTTAAGACATTTATTTATGCATTGTAAAATAATTTTATGAGTTATGCACACTTTTATTCAAAATTCTCCTTACTGAAATGTAAAAAAAAAAAAGGTTCTCATTCTCATTATGCTCAATCATCATTCTGTCATTTAAATAATATTTTAAATAATATATTGTTAATTTATTTCATATTTAGCATCAAAGGATTTGTACTTTATGGTAGTATTAGCTGTACTGCTTAATAATATATGTTGAATATATCATCGTTTTAAAGGTATTAAAAAGGCTTACTTTAAGGCTTAATTGGGGTGATATATGTTTTTGTGAGATTTATGTTTGTGTCTGTAATGTATTGATTGAGTGTATCTGTGTATGTTGAGGTTGCTGGGATGCTTCAGTTTGCCAAAGCGACACACAGTGAGTCAAACCTCAGCAAGCTGATGGTTTCTCAGATGAGTGATGCTCTGGATGCCAAAGACTCAGATGCCTTCACACAGAACATGTTCAAGATGACCGCGCTGCTTATCAGCACTAAAGGTAGCACACAGATGATCATATGGACTGTTTGGGATGCAGATCATGTTTGAGTGACACACAAACATCTCTGTCTCAGATTGGGATCTTCAGCTGCTGCATCATCTCTGCTGGTCTCCTCTGAAGATGTTCACTGAGCAGGGAATGGAGACGGCCATCGCCTGCTGGGAGTGGCTGCTCGCTGCCCGCGATGGGATTGAAGTCCAGGTAAGTCTGGATTATAACAGTGTGGCGTGCTCTTAGATCACAGTGCTCATTGCATGTGTGTGCAGTTCATGCGTGAGATGGCGGCCGCCTGGCAGATGACCGTCGAGCTGAAGATGGGCTTGTTCTCAGAGACGGAGTCGGAGGCCGATCCTTTAGCTGCTTCAGAAGAGAGTCAACCGCTGCCCCGTCCACCCAACGTCACGCCACATTCGCTCTGGATTGAGGTCTGTAATCGTACACTGCCATAAAACTCTTACTGTTTATGCTTTATATAGTATGTATACGGTGTACACCAAGTCAAGTCAATGTTATTTATATACAGTTGTGGTCATAGGTTTACATATACCTTGCTGAATCTGCAAAGTTGTCATCATTTTTTTTTTAAATAAGAGGGATCATAAAAATTGCATCACACTACATTAAAGCAGTAGTTCAACCCAAAATGAAAATTTGCTGAAAATGTGCTCATCCTCAGGCCATCCAAGATTAGGATGAGTTTGTTTCTTTATCAGATTTAGAGAAATGTAGCATTGCATCACTTCTCTACAGTGAATGGGTGCCGTCAGAATGAGAGTCCAAACAGCTGATAAAAACATCACAATAATCCACAAGTAATCCACACCACTCCAGTCCATCAGTTAACATATGGAGAAGACAGAAGCTGTAACAAATCCAGCATTAAGACATTTTGAACTAAAATACGAGTCCATAATGCATATTAACGCTTCCTCCAGTGAAAAAGTCCATCTCCTGTTGTCTCTCACATCAAAATTCACTCACATATTTGTTTAGAGATGTTTTGGCTTGTAAACAGTGCTTGATCTGTGCAGATTTCTCTCCTGATTCAGACCAGACCACTTTTTCACTGGAGGAAGCGTTATTATGGATAGTGGAATTGTGTTTTAGCCATTAGCAATGGTTTAAAGTTGAAAAAAAGTGATGTAATGCTAAATTTCTCCAGATCTGTTCACAAACTCATCTACATTTTGGATGGCCTGAAGGTGAGCACATTTTCAGCAAAATTTCATTTTTGGCTGAACTATTCCTTTAAGAGCCAGGGGGGTGTAAACTTTTGAACAGTATGATTGGTGTAAATTGTTTCTGTTTTGTCTTCTGGGAAACATGTAAGTATCTTATGTAGCTTCTGAAGGGCCATACTAAATGGAAAAGCAAAAAGATCTTTAAACAAAATAAGAAGAGTTTACACCAGTCATCCTGTTTGAAAGTTTTCACCCCCTGGCTCGTTATGCATCATGTTTGTTTCTTCTTCATCAGTGAATGTTTTCACCCGTTGTAATAGTTTGTATGAGTCCCTCGACTGTTCTCAGTTTGAAAATATGGATCTCAGAATCATACAGTCACTGTTAGGAAGATGCAGAATATGCTGGAAACCAAAGAACATGCAGGGGCTGGAGGATTTTTCTGAAACTCTGTCTCAGAATGATCACATTCCTCGTATTGTCCTATCATACTGTGTGTGTGTGTGTTTAGTTTCTAGTGCAGAGATTTGAAATCGCCAAGTACTGCAGTGCAGATCAGGTGGAGATCTTCACCGGCGTCCTGCAGAGGGCGCTGTCTCTCAGCGTCGGCGGGCCCAAGAGCTGCCTGAACCGCCACGTAGCTGCTATAGGACCCCGATTCAGGTGATGCTTTAAACACATGCAGCACCATTTACACCATTTAACCATTATTTGTGAATTGTGTTTTTGTATACTGTACATGCAGTATTTAGCAGGTTCAGAAATCTCCCATTAAAAGAGTGCAATTTTTGCCCCCTGGATTTATTTATTTTGTAAGCGTGTTATTGACTTATTACATGTATCTGTGTTGTATTTTTATGTAAATTTAACCAATTACCTCAATCATTCAGAATACTATAGACTGTTACCAATAAAATCTGATCAACATCAACAAGTCATCTTTACACTGCAAAGGTGGAACAGATGCTGCATCTGACATGGCATGTTTAGATGGTTTAATGCTGCTCAAAGGTGGCAAACATGCATTTATACAACAGTTGCATAATATGAATATCCCACATAAACTATATATTGATGTTACAAATGTTAATTAACCATTTTAGCTGTGTTGGTTGGTAAAAAAAAATATTTTTATTGGAATTTTAATATTTTATCCTCATTTTCTTTCCTAAACCTGTTTTACGCTTGCTACAAAAATAGGTACACTTAGGCTCTTAAGGACAAAAATATCCCCATTGAAACTCATTCAAATGCAATAATCCCAGCACCATTTAAGCATGAAATCATGCATTCTTTGTTAACAGGCTTTTATTCTGTTGGCAAGGCTCCAAAACCTTTTCGTTTTTTTATTTTCATTTTTACTATTTTCTCATGTTTGGCCTATGGAGCAAATACTCGCATTTCCCAGTTTTCTGCTTCTACTAAAGAAAAGGCCAATTGAAGTGATGTAATTATAAATGTGTGGGTGTATTGGTGTTTTTTGTTTAAATCTGACACTGCATAAAAAATAATACATCAGAATTAATGCTGTTGCTGATCATTGACCTATCCAAGACTGCAAAAAAAAAAAAATGCTAAGCATTTATTATATGTGTGGCATTAAGTAATCAAACTGGCATTTAAAGTGTTTAAAAACCTGAAAATTAATTAATGTAAAGTTATGATCAGGACTGATGTTGCTAAAAAGATCTATTTCAGGAAAAGCAGAAAAAAGAACATGATCTTCAGAAATCATACTAATATGCTGATTTATTATCAATGTTAGAAACAGTTTTTGCTGCTTAATATTTTTTTAGAGCCTGTGATACTTTTTTTCAGGATTATTTGATGAATAAAAAGTTAAAAAGAACAGCATTTATTTAAAATATAAATATTTTGTAACAATATAAGTCTTTACTGTCACTTTGTATCAATTTTACACATCCTTGCTGAATAAAAGTATTAATTTCTTTAAAAAAAAAGAAATAACTTTTTTTTTACTAACCTCAAACTTTTGAACAGTAGTGCATATTGTTACAAAAGATTTATATTTTAAATAAATGCTGTTCTTTTTTTTTTTACTTTTTATATATCAAAGAATCCTGAAAAAGTATCACAGGTTCCAAAAAAATAAATAAAAATACAAGCAGCACAACTGTTTTCAACATTGATAATAATCAGAAATGTTTCTCGAGCAGCAAATCAGCATATTAGAGTGATTTCTGAAGATCATGTGACACTGAAGACTGGAGTAATGATGTAGTTTGCTTTTTATGCATTCAAAAATCAAGACTTTACATTGGTTGTCTTCGCATGAAAAACAAAGCAGAAACAGAAACGCGTGTGTAATTGGTTGATGCAACATGAGCCAGATCTAAATGTAATGCTGCAATCGACACTTTGTTCATTTTCACATCTCACTTGAATGATTTTGAGGTGCATTTTTGTTAATTTTGGTGGCATTTTTAATGCAAGCTCTTGTTTATTTACGACCCTGTCATATAGTGAAATAATATAAAACTGTCAGTACAAACAACATGTCATTAAAAAAGGTTAGTATTTCATATTTAGTACATATCGTGTGTTGTGTGTGTGTGTGTGTGTGTGTGTGTGTGTGTTTTAGGCTGCTGACTCTCAGTCTCACTCTTCTTCACGCTGATGTGGTCACTAACTCCACCATCCGTAACGTCCTGAGAGAGAAGATCTACTCTACTGCCTTTGATTACTTCAGGTGTGAACATCAACACAAAACAGGAGGCAGATTTGGTTTCTTATGCAGAATGAATGTAACTTGTGTTTGTGTGTGTTCAGTGTGGCTCCACGGTTCCCCACGCAGCCGGAGAAACGCCTGCGCGAAGACATCAGCATCATGATCAAGTTCTACGCCTGTCTGCTGTCGGATAAGAAATATCTCACGGCCACTCAGCTCGTGCCACCAGGTGAACAAACCCCATCACGGTGCACATCAGTGATCTTCAGCTCAGACCTCAGCCTGTTTGTTTAGTTTGTGACATGAAGCAGCTTCAGCAGACTCCTGCCTTATTCTTATACAGTTTAGTTCTCTCTGGGCTCAAATTAATTGATAAGCTACTTAGAATATTTATACACTCTAAAAAATACAGTTTAGTTCTCTCTGGGCTCAAATTAATTGATAAGCTACTTAGAATATTTATACACTCTAAAAAATTAGTTTGTAAACAACATACACTCTAAAAAATGCTGGGTTGTTTCAACCCAACTTTGGGTCAAATATGGACTAACCGCGAGCTGTTGGGTTCAAATTAAATTTTTAACCCAAATGTTGGGTTAGTCCATATTTGACCCAAAGTTGGGTTGAAACAACCCAGCATTTTTTAGAGTGTATGTTGTTTACAAACTCATTTGTCACGTGACAGGAGTAGTTATGGTAAAAAGCTATTAAAATGATGAAAATTAAAATGTATATGGAGGCAATCTAAAATATTGCTGTTGAAAGAAAAGTTCCTGTTATATATTTTTTTTACTATCCATAAACTCATCCATTTTTTTTTTAAGTTGTCATTACAATTATGTCAAAGCTGCTTGTATTGTATTTTATTTAGTTTATTTTTTATTGTTTTTATGAACTTTTTTTAATTGATATATTGAATTAATGTGACTTGATATAATAATATATTTAAATAAATAATACATTTATTTTAATAAATAATGCATACATACACAATAATTTACTCATTAATTAATCAGATTAATCATTAATTAAATAATTAATAAATTACTTATTATTACAATTATTTTAAATTCATAAAATACATTAATTGTATTAAATTCATAGTATAAATATTTTAAATTATGTAAATAATACAAATTATCGAAGTATGTTTTACAAGATAATAATGTTTATAATTCAAAACATCATGTTTGATTCAGTGTGTTACTTGCAGTTTCTTTGAAACAATTTTCACCCTGAAATTGCTAGTAAATTTCATGAATAATTGCAAAGTAAACATTTTTCATTGTGTGTTACCTCAACAATACTGACGGTTCCTCCCAGTTCTGCCTCCTACATGAACAGCGTTTGAACCAATGTTCCCTCTAATTGTTTTTCTTGCCGGGCAAAACTTTTCTCTGTTGGGCGGACATTTCGGCCACCTGAGCAAAAACATTCTTTATACCAGACCTGTACAGCGCGTGCACAAAAAAGTGTGCAACTTTTAAGTTTAATGTGCTATTTGTATTTAATTTGACCCGTGACTAAATGATGTACATTTTAGGTTACCTGAGAAAACTTTTTTTTTTTTTTTACAGTATAATACACTGCCATTCAAAAGTTTGGGATCAGTAATGTTTATTAAAGAAGTTTCTTATGCTCATCAAGGCTGTATTTATTTGATAAAAATACTGAATATTATTTCACAAAATAATATTGTGAAATATTATTGCAGTTTAAGTTTTCTATTTTAATATACTTTAAACAGTAATTGATTTCTGTGATGCGCAGCTGTATTTTCAGCATCATTACTCCAGTCTTCAGTGTCACATGATCTTCAGAAATCATTCTAATATGCTGATTTATTATCAATGTTGGAAATGTTTTGCTGCTTGTTTTGCCAGCTTGGTCAAGCTAGTTATTTAATGGACTTTAAAATTGCTTTCATAATAATGAGATGTTTATAGATTTGTTAAGTCATGTTATTTATGTATTATAATCTATATAATTAAAATGAAAGTAAATGTTTTGTCTAGGTAACGTTATTAATTTTAAATGAAATATTAATGAACAGTACAGTAGATATAGAAATGCAACTGTGCCAAGTCTGGCGTGCTGTGCAACGGGCCGAGTCCGGCTTGGATGCCGCAGTGTCGGCAAGTTACGGCTGTCGCATCTGGTCCGGTTGATTCGGCCCAGAATCTGAAAGTGAGTACGCAGGCATCCAGGCCGGGTGCTGCCAATGGACAAGTCTTTAGCAGGTGAAATTTTAACTGAAAATGGCCTGAGTGTACGGAGAGGGATTGTGTATGAGGTAGATGTAAACAGCCTATCAGCAAACGTCAAGTTGGTAAGTTTTCACTAGACTTTAGTGGAGTCAGCAGTTCGCTTGACAGTAAATAAGGATCTAATCCTTTTTTTTTTTTTAAATACCATTGTTTTCCGTTGTTCGTAAAGTGTTATTTTGGTTTCCAATTACCAAGGAGAGGCTACGCAAGGTCCTAAAGATGGCGGCCGCAACAAAAAAAAAAAGTCACGTGACTGAAACCCATGAATAGAATAGAATAGAAAACAAACTGAAGCATTTAAACTGATCTGTAAGTAAAAAAAAAAAATGTGAACGTGAATTCTTCTATAGCTATCTAACTATCCCTATGAAGTACAGTTTGCACAATATACCTGTGTGTGACTGTAAATGTCTCTGAATTTTGTTACCGTTCTGTGCCCATCATCCGCTATTTCTAGCACTTAATCAAGCCACTCTTTAATGCATGATGAGGTTTTATTTCACATGTCATTGCGTTTGCGTTGGCTCTCGATTTGAGCTATTTTGTCCACAACCAATAAAGTATTCAGTTTCTACAGAGACTCATTTGGCGCACATCATTCTCTTTCTATGAAACCTGTAAACCGCATTCATCGGTTCTAACTCTATAGCGATATCAACTCTATAGCGGTTTACCAGAGCATTACAATTAATTCGCTTTCGCAAATGGCTTTCCCAACTCATTTATGCGTTCGCGAGGCACATTATTTCTTTTGCGCGGCCACGGTGGAAGAAGTGCGCAGCTTAAAGAAAACATTGGTTTGAACAGCTTGTAATGTATGTATGCGATGATGATGATGCTGATGTTGTGTGCTGTCAGATCCTCAGGACGTGTCGGTGAACAGTCTGTCTGTGATGGCGGTGACGGACTCCAGGAGCAGTCTGGACGCAGCTGTGGGCTCCAGACAGCAGGCCACACAGGGCTGGATCAACACATACCCACTGTCCAGCGGCGTCTCCACGCTCTCCAAGAAATCAGGTCCACACACTCACACACTCTCACACTCTCTCTCACACTCTCTCTCACACTCTCTCT